GTGGAAAGAAGTGTCCTACAGGGTGCTCAGTGTGTTTGCCGTGACTATCCTTCAGTTTGCTACACTCTCATGTTGACAACCTGCAGACTGCGAGCACACAAAGGCATATTCAACACATTTGTACCATCCCTCATTGATTTTTATGATGTTCATTTCCATAAAGAGAGGAGCTTTTTCAGAGCTGATGGGAAGGGCTCGTCATATTCGCCGGTGACTCTGAAAGCCGGGGGTTAATTGAGGTGGACAGTCCCAATCGTGACACTAAATGGCTTTAAAACGGGCACTTATATTCGCCGGCGGTGCGTGAATGTCACGGCACCTCAAGCTAACAGCGGACCTCCAGACCCTCACACAGCACAGTCACTGCTGGCCGGGCATCGCTGAAAGGCCTCTCACAGGGTTATTTAGTTATTGGGTCTAGATGCAAATATGCCGGTGAGATCATTCACAGCTTGGTGTCAGACAGTCACAGCTGCTTGTGGTGAAATAGTGCCGAGGGGAGAGCAAAGGAAAACGATGGTTATGTATGCGGAGGGCCTCTGCGTGAAAAACAAAAACACAACAAGACTTTTAATGTTCAGTATCTTTAGGTTTCTCTCTTAATAGTGATAAATGGCTCCGCAAGCATACAATCTTGGACACAGTAGACTTGTTAACTGACTCACACATTAGTTATCTGGCTCTCTTCTGCTGCCAAATGCCCTCTTGCCATCCTCGATCCCGTTCAAACCTGTAGCATCTTGTTTCCAGATGTATTGTCCACGTTGTGCCAATATTCACTGCAGTTTGGCCCTGGCTGGCTGCTTGCATTTCAAAATGTGTCCCAGTTGGCAACTTTCACTTCCCCCTGATCATCTTTGTCTGAATACAAACATTTACACTCAAACAAATGGTTGTTAACTATGGCAGTTATTAGGAAACTCAGCATGTGGGCAGATTTCAAAACACTGGAAGAACTAGGAAGGAACTACAGCGTGCAGACCTTCGCAAAGGCAGATAGTCGGTCTTTTAGAAAGTGGGAACATGTTTTTCAGGCCTGCAGCATTTGTCTCAGCAGTAATAGTTTAGTTTGTAGAACCACATCATCCACTTTAACAAACACACACTGTTGTTAAAGTTTAGTTAATGTCATTGTTTGTTTGTGGTTCTCATCTGGATCTGTCCAATATATTGAACAGTATTACATCCTTTGACAAAGATTCATTGATACAAATTGCATTCAAATCACTTAATAAAAATGTTGCTTGAAGCATTGGTTTTGATGCGCAGTAGATTTGATCCCACTATAGACTTTATACAACTTGGATATAACTTGGAGATCCAAACAATTTGGACAAAAAACTATAATGTAAAGACATCACTTAGCCGATTTGGGACATGTGATATGGGTCACAGGTATAAATCCCCATCTGTTTTCAAATATGTGGCACTGATGTGAAAAATAAAAATGCAGAAAACATCATTTTTGGGTAAAACAGTAATTCTCTGGTTAGTATACTCTTGACTCCAAAGTTTATAATACTCCCAGCACTGTCTGCAGCAGCACATCTCAGCTGAGCAGATATTGGACCACACGAGAAGGGATTGGGAATAGAGATGTTCCAAGGCGACTAATTCCAAAGTCGATTAAGCGCTAAGCTAAATTCAGACTAACCAACTAGTTAAAAGTTAAGAAATATCTCAACACGTCTGCCGAGTGTGGCTAACGTTAGCACCACCAGCCTTTATGCCTCGTTTGCAGGTTAGCTACAACATGCCTGTGCTTAATGTGGTTAAGCATTGTTCAGATCAGTATCCCACTTCAACCTGAAACAGCCTTCATTCATATTATCTGAATGTTCTCCATCAAAACACTACCAGACTCGCTGCTGTGAGATGTTTTCCATTCACTGTGCTTGTTCATGTCAAGTTTTCCCATCTCAACAGGGTGGACTCTGAAAATTCTAATATCAGTTGGCCTTCAGTTTTCTTCCTTAAATATTTATTGGGAACATGCAGAGTGTTGCAGCTCCACGCAGGACACTTCCTATACTATGAATGCATTCACACCTTTCTGTGAAATGACCGCATGGCCTTCCCCCTACATGTTTTTGGTACACTCATGTTCTTAGATTGCTGTGTGACTGGGTGGTTTAATTGTTCAGTACAAAAAAAAAGGCAGACCGGCCTGCCTGTGTTCATTATATCCCCATGGGATGTTTGGATGAGCTGGCTGGCTAGTTGACTGAGTAATGATCGGACACTCTGCCTGCCAGCCTGCTAACCGACTCACAAATTGACTACCTGCCCGCCTGAATGACGACCTCACCTATAGCCTGCCTTCATTCCTTTCTGCCAGCCTTCTCTATATGACAATACCTACAACACAATGCACCTGACAGCAATCACAATGCCGGATGTTGCCTTAAAGAAGAATCTTCAAACGGGACAGTCGTGCAATGCGCCACTCGCTGACTGTTCCCCCTGCGGCACAGAGGTCGTCGCTCCCACAGAGAAATCAATACGCAACAATGATTAAGCTCGACGTGGCGTATCGGTTGCAAAGGTTTGTCCAAGTTCACAAAAGGAGCGGAGACAATGCAACGACTTTAGCCGAGCGTCAGCAGCTGAGTCTTGTGAGCGAGGGGGAGTTGACGGATGCGAGGCAGATGAGCACCAGAGCATCGATCAAACATGTGCATCCCGCGCCGACATAAGGCCGATTCCCAGAAACGGAGGAGCAGCACATTTTGTCCCAGAAACGTCTGACAGGCTCACTACGCACATGGCCTTGATTGACCCGTGTTTTCTAATGAATCTTTTACTAGTTCTCTCTTTATGTTGTCCCACTTGCATCACCAACACCTTTCGACATGACTCAAGTTTAATGTCAGCAGGCTGAGCGGGCAATTTGCAGGATTTAATCTCCTCTTTATTACCCGAGCAAAATGTGAAATGACAACCAGGATTCAACTGCCAAAAGAAATATAATCAGAGACTCGGATACAGGAAGTTGCTGCATGTGCCTTTGCTGACGTTCTTCTCTGCCGAGGGACTCTCCCTGCAAAGAAAAGCCACCCAGGAATGAAATTTGTCGTCTCCTGGGTGTTAGCTCTCTCCTTGGAAATAAGGTGTGCACAGTGTGTCTGGCTGCGCTGCAGGTCTGATGACAAACCTGCTTTTCTGTCACTTCTTTTGTTATCGGGGAGTGTGTGAAGTCTGTACAACAAGTAACCTGGCAGGCCCTGAAACACGAGGTTTTTTAAATGGAAGTCACGACTTCTCAAAAGACACTGTGGTTTCGCCTTGAGAAATATAAAGAGCTGTGGATGTTGTGTGATTCTGTATCGAGTTGTCAAATTTGGGTTGTATGATTTTTTTTGTATAGTAACAAATCAGACAATTCAAATAGCTTTCAGCTGAATCGGGCTAGAATTGATGATTACATTCTTTCCGATTGAGCCACCAGTTGTTCTCATGATCAATTGATTAATCCTTTAGCACATTGAATGTCAAATATGTTTTCAATGAATCTTATTTCATTTCCTTTGACCAACCAACAGTCCAAACCCCAAAAACTCCTTGTTACCTTCAACGACAAAGACAAGCAGCAAATCCTGACTTTAAGAAGCGAGAACCACAACTTGTCAAATCAAACCTTAATAATTACTAAAATTATTAATCGGTCGTGAGCAATAACATTTTCTCATTCTTCTCGGTCTATTTGAACTCTTTCAGCGTTGGGACATCTTGAAGGACATGTTGAGGTTGTCACAACACCAAAAAATTGAAACTTTGACACGATACTAGGACTAAAAATCCAACGACATCTGCACCTGTTTTGATACCGAGGCAACTAAAATAGAAGTCTTAGCCACCTAATGCTGGGTAATTTCTTATTTTTAATTGATATAAAATGTAAGGAGACTCCTGCTTTGTGTCTTTGGTTAAAAAATGTGACTTAAGTCAAGTGCTTCTGTATTTTTCATTACTATGGATAACTGAATAAATAGATTGTAACCATTTAAAACTCATGGTGGTAGAAGAATCGACAATTCTGACAGCCTTACATTGTTTCCAGCGTGTACAAACAGATACAGGATTAATTTAGAATAAAAGTTAATGACAGCTTAATGAAAATTACCATTATTGGAAGCTTTAGATTAATATTTAGGGTTATCCAGCCCTTGTTATCATAATTTTTAGGACATTTTGCTCAAAATGAACATGTGTAAATATATTTTAAAGGATCCACTCCAACATGTCCAAGGTTTATTCTCCCTACATGATTATATATTTATATCCTTTGGCTGTCTTGCTGATGGACTCCCCTGACTGTCAGGTGAAGGAATGTGCATCTAACCGGTCGGTTTTGATACCGAGGCAACTAAAATAGAAGTCTAGCCACCTAATGCTGGGTCATTTCTTATTTTTAATTGACACAAATTGTAAGGAGACTCCTGCTCTGTGTCTTTGGTTCAAAAATGTGACGTGATTCAGTATTTTTTCATTACTATGGATAACTAAATAAATGGGATTGTAACCATTTAAAACTCATGGTGGTAGAAGAATCGACAAATTCTGACAGCCTTACATCGTTTCCAGCGTGTACAAACAGATACAGGATTAATTTATAATAAAAGTTAATGACATCTAAATGAAAATGATCATTATTGGCAGCTTTAGATGAATATTTAGGGTTTGAATCATCATTTTTAGGACAGAAATATTGCCCAGAAGGAGTATGTGTAAAAAATATTAGAAAAGGATCCACTCCAATGTATTGTCCCTGCAGTTTAACAGGCTGTACATGATTATATATTTATATCCTTTGGCTGTCTTGCTGATGGACTCCGCTGACTGTCAGGTGAAGGAATGTGCATCTAACCGGTCTGTCTGCTTCCTGAAGCCCTGCAGCTGTCTCTCTCTCTCTCTGTGACAACAACAACAACAACAACAACAACAACAACAACAGCTTTAAAAGGGGGGGAAAAAAAGCAGGAAAGGGAAAAACCACTCACAGTCCAGGTGTTTCTTCTTGGGTCCGCTCACTTCATGTGTGGTGGCTTTGCACACAGCCTTACTGATCGCAGACCCGGTCATGCTGTGCTGAGCTGCTGCGATCCGATCCGTGATAGACTGGCCCGACATCTTCTTCTTCTTCTTCTTCTTCTTCTTCCCCCTTAAATCAGCTTTAAAAAAAACACCCCAATAACGATCCGATCAATGGATCAAATCAACGTGACTGCACTGACAAGAGGAGGGTGTTTCTTCTTCTTCTTCTTCTTCGTGTCTCCCGGGTGCGTAGAAAACCCAGCGCGGTGTCTACAAGGTGCAAGAATCAACAGCTGACTTGCAAACTCTTTTTAATGTCTATCTATCTATTTAGTGAACAAAAAAAACACGGAGACACTAATCTGAGCTAGTCTGTGTTAGCTAATGTTCCCGTTGCAGCACTCGAACCAGGAAAGAGTCCCACTTTGGAAGTTGTAAACACTGGAAAATACTTTCCGGCCACAAATAAACATCGCTAACTGGCTGGTTTGTGTTGTAACCAGGACGGATTTAGTTGTTTGTTTGTTTTTATCTCCACCTCAGGGCAACAACAACAACAAACAAAAGAAGTAATCCGTGTGAATGTGAAATCAAAGCTTTGCAGACTCTCCTTCCTCCTTCCTTCTTCCTCCACGTCACTGGAATTCGCCCGGAAAAGTGTTTTTTAAACCCGACAGCGGGTGTAGAAAGTCACTCAGGGTGGAGCAGCTCATTGTCCGGAGGTGATAATAATAAGATGTTGAAGATGACAGCCCACCCACCCACCCCCCACTCCCACGGAGAGGTCGCGGTTTCCCCGGTGAGCACAGACCGTGAGAGGCTAGCGGGAGTTAGCTGATCTGCAGACCGACAGAGAGAGAGGGAGAGCGGGGCTGCGGGTGAAGTCTGGTCGCCGTGGAGACGGAGCTTCAGAGCCGGCAGAGTTCAAAATGACAGCGGAGCTTTTCCTCCCCCCCACACGGTTAAGGTGCTGTCCTCCAGCGGTGCCGGTTTGTTTTTTTTAATGGGGTTTGTCTTGTTTTAATCTACAGTCCGGTTCTCTTCTTCTTCTTCTTCTTCTTCTTTTTCTGTCTGGGGGGAAAAAGTCTCTCCAGCGGTTTTTTCTGACTGGCTGCTTTCTGCTTCTCTGCCGGACAAAATGGCAGCGTAAAAAATCAGCTGATCTCACAACTGTGCTGCCTTCACTGAACCCTGGGAGGATTGGAATTTAGAGTGTTTCCACTTTTTTTTTATTATTATTATTTTTTTTTTTATAAATGTTTTAAAGTAGTCTATCCTTATATTTATTCAATTATTTAACAAATTATTTAAATATTGCAACTTTTATGCAACTTTTTTGCAACTTTATTTGCAACTCCCTGAACTCAATTTGTATCTTCTTTTACTTCTTTTGCTCCCAGTAGATCACAAAACACACACACACACACACACACACAACCGGACAATTCACTCTGACATTGTGCAATAATAACGTTATATTAAAGGTAAATGGTCTTGAGCTTATAAAGCGCTTTTCTAGTCTTCCGACTACTCAAAGCACTTTTACACCGCATGTCACACCCTTTCACACACTGATGGTAGTGATCGCTATGCAGTATCATCAGAAGTAACTAATCCCATTCATACACCGTCATTGAAGCAGCGGGAGCAATTCAGGGTTAAGTGTCTTGCCCAAGGACACATCGGACACGTTGCTCAGCTGGGGATCAAACCCTCGACCTTCCAGTTGAGAGAAGATGACTCTACCAACTGAGCCACAGCCTCCTCTAATGTTATATCATATTTACCAAATCCACTTTGTGCAATAACATGTTACACTTTATGTGCGCTGTGTGCATGTCTGTGTTACACGGAATATTACGGACTACACTTTTGTCAATAGCTGATCTTTTTTTTTTGTATCTATTTTTTTTTTTTAAATCTATTTTTTATCTATTTTGTAGTATCTATTTTTTTTTTTTTATCTATTTTTTATCTATTTTTTAGCATCTATTTTTTTTTTAAATCTATTTTTAATCTATTTTTTAGCATCTATTTTTATTTTTTAATCTATTTTTTATCTATTTTGTAGTATCTATTTTTTATTTTTTAATCTATTTTTAATCTTTTTTTTGCATCTATTTTTTATTTTTTAAATCTATTTTTTAGCATCTATTTTTTATTTTTTAAATCTATTTTTTATCTATTTTTTAGTATCTATTTTTTTGTATATTTATATATAATTTTTTTATCCTTTAATCACTTGTTTCTATTTCTTTTACTGCTCTTACCTTCTTATTGCTGTTATCTTGTTATTTGCTTTTAGCTCTTTTAGTTTCTTACATCTTTTTAAATCTTTGGTCCTCTTGGTCTCAGCTCGTGTTGTTGGGTTCTTGTGTTGCCTGGGTTCTTATCATGGTTCTTGTGTTGCCTGGGTTCTTATGATGGTTATTGTGTTTCCTGGGTTCTTGTGATGGTTCTTGTGATGGTCGGGTTATATATGGGTTCCATTTGTTACGTTCTTTCTGTTTATTATGTTCTTCTGTGTTTGGTTTAGTTTGTTCTTGTTTTTGCTGTTTGTCAAAGCACTTTGTAAACCTGTGTTTTTAAAAGGTGCTATATCAATTAAGTTATTATTTATTTTTTTCCATCTGGTACTGTCATGATAAGTCCTAGATCACTGGCTGGTTGGCACTTAGTATGAACAAGTGTGTAAATTCCTATTCTGTTGGGATTTCTTCAATGAAAACAATTAAAACTGATGTTAATTTTTGACAGTAAAGTTTCACTTTTTTTAATTGGGGTTTTTTCATTTGAAGTATTTTTATTTGAACATATTTTCAGATTTAATAATTTCAATGATTTTTAAATGTTCTATTTTAATGTTTCTTTTCTTTCCTCTGTCATGATGCTTTTGATGTCTTGTGTGAAGCACCTTGAATCGCCTTGTTGTTGAAATGTGCAACATAAATAAACTTGCCTTGCCTTACAGGCGGCTCAAAGGAAAAAAAGGTTGGGCACCAATGTCTTAGATGATTATTCAATGACGGATTCATCGTAAAGTGATTGTCTGATTATAAGCACAAACTAATGACATTTACTTATTTAAGGCACTTATATGTTAATATGTTGGACAGGTAAATCAAACACTTTCATTCACTTTCATTAGACTTTAGAGGTGAGCAAATGTGATCTGGAAAATTGTCATGTTCATTTTTCAGAATAGATCATCAAATTTGCTAGAAAGTTGACAGATTCATGGATATTGAAATTACTAGTATTTTGTCACGAATGGTGACTCTGTTAGATTATGTAGGTAGATGGTGGTCATAGGTCTTTGACGGCCTGGTTTTTAACCTGTAACCACAAATCTGTTAGCCTTGGTTATATATTATCACCCAAAGAGTACATTTTTTCATTTATCTTAGAATTTAAAATAAACCAAGGAGTTAAACTAGAGGTTTACAAACTTTGATCGAAACAAAAAGCAGCGTAGGAGAAAATAAAGACAAGAAAAAGTCATGTTAAAATCAGCCTATATTGGGCCCCAAAATAAGCCTGAAGAATACGTGCGGGATCGAAACGTTGATTTTGAAAGTTACTGGGAACTTGTAATACATTGTGCGGATCATTTTTTAAATTCTTAACCCAAATAAAAACAACAACTCTGTTTAATAGACTTTTTTTCCTCGACGTTTGTGAGCGCTCTTACTATATTTCCGACAGATCCTGAACGCATCGATAGTCTATTGGACAAGCCGTGAGGAGTGAGTGCGGGTTTAAGGTGTCACGGTTCAAATTGTAGAGGAATGTGTGAAACAAAAGTATATTTTTTTCTCGTGTTTTTTACGACACTAAAACGTCTCTTGTAGAAAACAAAAACCAAAAAGCGACTGAAATCTCCACGTTCTGTCTTTTTGGGTTTTTTTTAAAGAGATGTCTCCCGCCGCTGTAATCCACATTTAAGGTGGTATTACACGATTCCTCAGACTGCCGTGTCCTTGTTTGACTCCAGACTATGTGGAACACGGTGTGCTGAAAAAACCAGCGGGGAAAACGCTCCTGCTGCACGGTGCACGACAGTGTGGGTATCACGGCGGATCTGAGAGCTGAATAAATCACATTTATAGCAGAGGAGGACTGTATTTCACACTTAGTATGAGATGTTATTACCTACAAGCTCCTTTTTTTCCAGACATCTGAAGTGGCTCACATTGATTACAGCTGTATGCTGCCATGATGCAATAAAGCTTTATTGAAAAATGTGATTTGATCAAGATGACCTGAGAGTCAGAGCAGTATTGTGAGTTATGAGAGAGAGAGAGAGGAGAGTCGGTTGAATGATACCATAAAACCACACGTGCAGCCTCTTATGTTTGTTAGATGTGGGTGTGGGGAATCGTGGCTGTCAGACAGTTACTTTCAGTTTCAGGGAGCTAGCTGCAGCTTGCAGTATTTCCTGCCTGGGTGAGAAATACTGCACTGACCCCAATAGAAAGCGGCAAGAGACAGAGGCAGGTGAAGTGCGGGAATTTACTTTTGCTTTACTTTGCTTTTCGACCTCCAGTGACCTCTGTGCTTCTCCCAGACGAAAGATTCCTCAAGAGGTGGTGATTGATATGATGACTCTGTAACCCGTCAGTGTGTACACTCACAGCGGGCTTAAAACTAGCAGTTATGTAAATCCCTCTGTACAAATGTTTTAAATTCATAGAAACTAACGAATTAATTTCTTGCCTAAATCGTTCCCTGTGAGCAACAAGAAGGATTACGACACTGTCTGTAAAACTGTGATATCTAGTCTCAACGTCTATGGCCTCTGTCCACCCTGTTTGCAACCAGCTAAAATCAGTGTCTCCACAGTCATATCGCAGTCATGGATTTTACAATACATGTCACATTCACACGGCTGAAATGAGTTTCCTCCGGAGGGTGGCTGGCTGGGCTCGGACTTAGAGATAGGTTCAGGAGCTCAGACATTCGATGGGAGGTCTGAGTAGAGCGCCTACTCCCTCGCATCAAAAGGAGCCATGTTGAAGTGGTTCGGGGCGTCTGATTAGGATGCCTCCTGGACGCCCAACTGGAGGAGACCCCGGGGTAGACCCAAGTTCGCTGGAGGGATTATTTATCCCATCTAGCTTGGGAACGCCTCGGAATCCCAAAACCTGGAGAAGCTGGAAAACGTTGATGGGGAGGGAAGTCTGTGCTTGCTGCCACCACGACCTGATCTCGGATAAGCGAAAGAAAACTGGATGGATTGATGGTCACATTCACACCACAGTCTACCCCTCAGATGGCAGAGGATGCGATACGTAAAGTGTCCATCAGTATCCATCCACACGCCAAATGTTCAGTGTCTATGCTCAAGAGCACTTTGACATGAGACTGCAGTAGCTGGGGATCGAACCCCCGACTGACTGAGCCATGGCGTTTGTTTCTAAGCGACTAAATGACTGGACGTTAAAACTGGACATTTTCTAGCGGGTTTATCATTTATATTCAGCCGCAAACAAACAACTGTACAAATACACAAAAGGGCCAAAAGTTGCATTTAAAAAACAAGGAAGCCAAGAAATCAATCACTGCGGGCATTCATTTGGAACATTGTAGAGCCGTCGTTCCCAACCCGTTTTACCCTTAGAGGCCCCCCCAACATAGAAGCTCTAAGAAAGGCTGAGCCCCTCCCCCACGACCCACAGGTAAAAAAAAAAAGGTGACACATTGCCGTCAGCACCTTAAAACAATTTAGATTTAAATCAAAGTTTTCATTGAT